TTTTAAGATAGTAGGAAGTTTTATGCTACACACAGCATACATAATATTTCTACAATTTATTTTAGACCTCATTTATGTTTGGCATGCCCCCAAAAAAGGTAAAATTTTATATTAATCAAATTCCAATGGAACTAACATGTAACACACAGCATACCTTGTATATATATGAGAAACAAAGAACAAAAAAGGGCGCCTCCATAGTGTAAAAACGAAATTTAATGATAAAATGCACAGCTTGTATTGTACTTACAAAAAGTGGGTACCGTATAAAAAAAACGCTGAGGGTTTAATAAACCTTTAATTGACTTTCTGACCCGAATCCTATGAACGAAATAATGAAAAAACTGCAACAAAATGTACTGAAACAAATTTTTTACTGGAGCACATGCAGAAGTTGCAGGAGTTGGTAATAATTGCAGGCCAGCATCAGTGGCAGATGGTAATGGTTGCAAGCCATCAGCAGTGGTAGATGATGGTAACGCTAAATGGTAAAATAATGTTTTTGAGGCCAGAAACAATGTAATCGTTGGCATCAGCTGCAGAGGTTTGGTTTTCTTTGCTGATCCAGAACTGGTTCATTTTTATAAAGGTGAGCTGTGAATGAGGACAGGTGGACTACTTTTCTAAAAACAAAACCACCCACTGCATTAAATTCCTGCTTTGAAATCACATTGGCTGCAGAGCAGCCCCGCAGCTTCATCGCATACTAGGCAAGTTTGGGCCCAAGGTCCATCCTCAACACCCATTCTAAGGGTACCACATCTGGCTTTGACCCTATATGATCAGACACTGACTGTGACTGCTGCCAGCAGCCAGGCCTGGGTGAAGAATCGTGAAGAAGGACTTATAAGATTTGCCTAGGCAGGCACTTTCACCGCTGCTACTTATTTTATGGACCTAAGGATCCAAGACACGTTGGCCATGAAAGGGGATCCTGACTCTCTGGAAATGATGTTAAGTGGTTCCTGCATAGCATGTGTTTCAAATGGTGCATTTTTGCTACCTCTGTGATGACAGGACGAGCTTTAGCACCTTTCCCTTGTAATGTGGATTTAAAAGATTGGCCAAGCAGTAATGCTCCCTCTCCTTGATGGCCCAAATCCTGGGGTCCTTGCACAAAGCACTGCAGCATGAACAAGCCCATGCACCAAATTGCTGGTGGCAGACAAACCTAAGTCCTTAATGTTGCAACAGTGTCCTCAACCATCTCACTCGGCCAACGTACGACTTCCGGACTTTGGAAGTTTAAGGAATAGGCAGTAGGGATGAGTTTGGGTTTTGTCTGAACTTGAGTTTGTACCAGGATGGACACTGTCAGTGCGGGCCATTGCGTTGCAGCCAGGGCATTCCTGGACCCTCAGTTTCATGTAAACAAAGGACAGGATGCTGGTCACTTCACTGGCCTTATATGGCCACACTAGGTCTATGTCATTAGCCAAATATGGCCATGTAGCTATATAAGGTCAATGATGTCACCAGCATCCCACCCCTTTATTTACGTGCTGCTGTGGGTCAGGGAATGCCCTAGCCGCAGCTGACTGGCTCACACTGACAGCTTATTTCTGGATTGCGACGAATTTAAGGTCAGACTGAACCCAAGCTCATCCCCACTAGGCAGCATCTCAAGATCATTTCTTTGCAACAACTAAAGTTGATATAAATGAGAATATTGGGATTGTGAGTACCTAATGGAAACCTTGCAATATACCTTTTTTAAATGTTGTCAGGAAAGGCATTTTAACTTTTGCTTTATTCAGATTTTCTTTGTTCAGGACAGAAAACTAACACATTTTCCTTCCTAGAATATGAAGCTAAAACTTAAAGTAGTATTAAACTGTCAAACATTTTTTCAATAATGCATCCAGACCAAACAAATTGTACATTGGCCAGCAAAGTATTTCTTAAAATTTTTGCCAAACATTTACAGTCATCATGTTTCAGAACAGCTGACTCCAACTCTGAGCTCTGCTTCCCTGATCATCCTGTCCAGTAGAAGGACAGAGCAGTCTCCAGCAGCTGTCCATCTACCAGCTTGCAGGAGTGAGGACGGGGGGCTCGGTTGCAGGGGAGTGTCTTGCCTTGTCATTCTTGTGTGTTTGTGGAGAGACACACAACTTAACTAGCACACACAAGGGTGGTTCCATAGGACCCTGCAAGGGAAAGGAGCCAGCTGAAAACCAGTTATCAGGACCAGTGCTCCAGCGACCAGCTGATTCTGTCAGAAACTAAAACTTTAAACATCAAGGAGCAGCAACATTGTTAGCTATTTCATCAGCATTTGAAACCGCTTATAAAACGTTTCACTTTCCCAGAATGGGACCGGGAACCTGGTGTGGGTGAACCTGGTGTGGGTGAACCTGGTGTGGGTTGATTCCCGGCGAGCTCTCCTCCCGGATGGAGCACTTTCTTCCTTTTTCCTCTTTTCTCATTTTCTTATGATTATCTCAGCCTCTCTCTCCTCTGCTTCCCATGCTCCCCTTCTCTCTTCTTGCTACCCTCTTTCTGTCCACCCTACATGTTTATACTAGTTTTCAATTTTCCTATCGGTTTCTGACCCCCTCTTGTAACTTGAAAAAATTGGGCAGGTTGGGTATTCACACTTTCTTTATTATTGATCATATTTAAAGTTTGACCCTCCTGCATGGTACGGTCTGGATGCATCTGTTGGTTCATATTACTTGCTTGAGTTATCCCTTCTTGTAGCCTCATTGAAATTCGATTAAATGGATATTGTTTTGTACAATCTCGTTTTGTTTTGTTTTTTACAAATGTGTGTATTCACTCACATGCCTTCAAATAAATAAATATTTTTTTTTTTAAAACCCTTTTCACTTGAATATCGCTTTAAGCTGGCAATACAGTAGCACATTACATAGTTACATAGTATTTGAGGTTGAATAAAGACATGAGTCCATCAAGTCCAACCCATTGTTGATGTGTGTGTATGTATATATACACACACACACACACACATATATATATATATATAAATATATATATACATACATACATATATACATGTACATACACACATACATACAAACACACCCTCACACACACACATAGGTCCTTGTATCAGTTCATTCTTAATTGTACCTGTACCCCTGTATATTAGGGTTTCTCAGGAAATCGTCTAAAAGCTTCTTGAATGATTCCGCATTCTTAGCTGAGATTACCACCTGTGGCAGCGAGATCCAGACCCTAACCGCTCTAACTGTGAAGAACCCCCTTCGCCCCTTGTGCTGGAATTTCTTTTCCACCATTTTTAGGTGATGGCCTCTAGTCTTTGTTACGGAGTTAATTGTAAAGAGTTTGCTGCAATGTTGCTGTCACCATTTAACAATTTGTACATGAAAATCATGTCCCCCTTAATCTCCTTCTAACGTGAACATGTTTAAATTTAGTAGTCGTGTCTCATAGCTCTGGTCCTCCATTCCCCTAATTAGTTTGGTTGCCCTCCGCTGGACTCTTTCAAGCTCAAGGACGTCCTTTCTGTGGACTGGAGACCAAAACTGGACCGCATACTCCAGATGAGGCCGGACCAGTGATCTATAAAGTGGCACAATTATGGACTTGTCTCTGCAATAAATTCCCTTCTTAATACAGGACAGGACTCTACTTGCTTTGTTTACAGCAGTCTGGCACTGCAAGCTATTAATCAATCTGTGGTCTACAGTGACCCCCGAATCTTTTTCTATTTCTGACTTCCCTAGTTGGCATACCCATGATTGTATAGCCCATTTGCTTATTTTTATTCCCAAAGTGCATTACTTTGCATTTGTCGACATTGAACCTCATCTGCCATATATTAGCCCTATTTTATCCAGGTCCTCCTGTAATGTTAAACTGTCTAGGTCCGTTTCCATTACCATCCCGATTTTGGTATCATCAGCAAACACTGAAACATTGCTACTCACACCCTCCCCGATGTCGTTAATAAATAGGGTGAACAGCATGGGGCCCAGCACAGAACCCTGAGGCACACCACTCATGACACCAGTGGCGTAACCAGAGTTATGGGCGCCCGGGGCAGAATTTTTTTTTCCGCCCCCCCCTTTTTATATAAACATCCACTAGAACTGTACCCCCCACCCCCACACATACAGTATATATCAGCTAAGGAACTACAAGTCCAAGCATGCCATCATTGTCCCTGTACAATTTCCACTTACCCCCTCGTAAAAAGTTAGCAGGTTAGTCTGAATTAGATTGAAATGTTCATTCAGTTTTCGAATAGTTATTGCGGTTAAATTGGTGCTCAATTTCAGCCATATCAAAAGAGCAGGATGGAAATGTTTTCTCGAATGGACGAAATTCTAACAGTGAATGTGTTTTTCCTTTGGGAAGCTCCCTTCATTTCAATATCAAATGTTGAAACAAAACAAATTCAAGTATCTGATAGCATTATCCAATGGTCTGGTAAAATTTTTCTTCACATGGAGATCATTCATAAAATGTTCAGCCAGCGTATAACTGTGTGAACGATGTTTGCAGCACATTCCTGCCACTAGATGTGCTCCTTGGCTTCATCTAGTGGCAGTAATGCCCTGAGAATGACGTTCACTCAGGTACATGCTGACGCGCGATAAATCATCCCCTTGGCATCCTTCTCATCCATAGAAATGAATGCCCCAGTGGTCTCTATGCTCCTCAGTTAATATCCACAGTAATAAAGTGATTTCTGTACCAACTTCCTTGCAGCCTTTTTCCTGTCAGCTATATTTTAAAAAGTTTTTTTTTTTAAACTAATCAAATTTTTTTTTTTTTAAACCAAAAAACTCTCCTTTTTATGAGGCTTTGGCGAGTCCTTACATATAAATCTACACATAAGCTCGCCTTGCTTGTAGCTTTTTCAAAAAAATTCAAACACGTCTACCAGCGTATCATTTACGCATGCGCACTCGCCAAGAACGCGTGTATCAGTGCAGGGGGTTTATGCCAGTTCTAAAGATGGCGATCACGAACACATGGTTTTGCACGGAAGTGAGCAGAGCGGCTTCCGGCTTCCGGAACATACAAGGGACAACATGGACGGGACAGAGTAAGTACTTAGAAAATGAAATCCGTTGCCATCCGATGTAAGGGAGAGGTAGATGAGGGTGGAGGAGCAGACGGGGAAGTTGTAAACATTGGTTTGGATGGCATTTGCGCAGTTTGTGGCTGTAACATATGACCGTGTCAGCCAGCTCTCTGATTACCACTAGCTGTAGCTGCTATGGAGCGGGGTCTGTTCCATTTGGGCTAATAAGTGAATACATGAAATGATAATGAAATTGCAGAGTTCTGGGGACTATGGTATGTAGCTGTGAGACATACTTATAGAATGTGGCCTCGCTGTACATGTCCCACGTTTGTTGACATTCACTGCCAGCACATCTAGGGCATGTGAGGCTCGACTGCAACTGTTTGCCTCATCTTCTGATAAATAGGAGACTATTAAAGTGTATCTGTAACTAGGGATGCACCAATACCATTTATTTATTTTTTAGTCCAAGTACCAATACGTTTTTTCAAGTACTCACCGATACCAATACCTTGTTTTTCTTTTTTTTGTGTCATGTGACAGATTTTCTAAAATAATCCAGACTAATGATTTTAGGACAGTGGTGGAGCACCAGGGCATGGTCACAGCTGCGACCCTGGTAGTTTTGTCACTGACTCCAAGCTGTAAAGTCACCACAAATCCCAGCAGTACTTTATACAGCAATGCGGGATGGCAACCAGCTGTAGAAGACTACATATCCCAGTAATACATTATGCTGCAATGCAGAATAATACCATCAGCTATAGAGGACTACAAATCCCAGCAATGCATTATGGCTAGTGTGGGTGGTCCCCTGGGAAGGAGGAGGAGATGTGCGCCCGGCGCTGTAAAAAGGAGCTGCGTGGTTCACAGGAAGGCTGCCGAGGGTCAGAGACCTCAGACAGCCGCTTCAGTTTAAAAATTTAAAGCGCCGGTAGCGGAGACGCAACAGGAAGTTAGTGGACATTTCTCAAACTGAGAGAAATTCCTGTTTTAGGACTGGGGGGGGGGGGAGAAAAGAGGG